ATTAATTATGGGTAATGTATTGATTAAATTGGCTGAAGCAAATTTATACGTGTCCAATAAGTAGCTAGAAATTCCACATTTTGCTAATGCATGAGACTTCGTGTTTATTACAAAATATATCTAGTTTTGTAAACTTACTTCTAATAGATACATTGACAACTTTAGAAGTTTCATGGTGAACTCTTACTGTTATATAATAAAAGGAGACGAGTAGTTTCCCTTTATATATTTTTTGCAAATGTCACAAGATATTATTTTTATAACCTGTGAAGTTACAAAGTCCGCTATATATGATACCACATCTCTTCCACATACGGTGAAAGGTCAAACATAGTTTTTACGTAATCATGTTCAAATAAAGAAACGACACTTAATGTAATTGTGTTTGGATCACAAACTGGATCAGCTATTTTATTTGAACTGCTTCAATGTGACACTAGCTTTGCTTTGTATATTTAATAAAATAAGACTTGATATTTAGCATATGTTAGATAATCAAATTGAATCTGGTACCTTGAATTACGAAACATTTAGGTTAATATGATTGATATGATTTATTATTATTATTATTTATATGTAAGTTAAAGTTTATATATATTTATGTATATTTGTACGTAATGTGTATTTTTATATGAATTTTAGTGAAGATGTATTCATTTTAAATTTCAAAAAATATTTGCTGTTTTATGTAATAAACCATAAACTCTTCTGGATTCAGTTTTATAGTACCTACCCATTTTATTTTACATTCACTATCTAATATTCTCATAAATTACAATTAACAAGTTGTATAATTAGATATATAAAATAATAATTGATAATTTTATTCTGTTAATAGTACATCAGTTATTAAATTTCATTTGAAATAATCCGCTAAATTTTCGGNATAAATTACAATTAACAAGTTGTATAATTAGATATATAAAATAATAATTGATAATTTTATTCTGTTAATAGTACATCAGTTATTAAATTTCATTTGAAATAATCCGCTAAATTTTCGGGCTTGCGCAAAATTGACAAAGTGCAACATGTACACTTTTTATCCCCCATTTTTGGGAACAAGGTCATTATATGTAAAAGATATGCAGTGCTTGGTATATTATAGAAGTATGTGGTTTGGTTATACCGTTTTTAGTCAGTTTGGCTTTTGTGTAGTTAATGTTAAGTGTCGTGAGTATTTTTTGTACTTGCGTCCACCGTTCTTGCTTTTGCCAGATTACCGGGGGGACTTGTTTGGTTTTGTCCGTCCGTTTTTGTGTGTTTTGTGGGGTGTTTTGTAGGGCGCTTGTGGAGGGTTTAGGTGTCGGGGGGCGCGTGTTTGGTGTTTGTGGTCGTGTTTTGTTTGTTTTGTCTGATTTTTTATGTCTGGGGGCTTCGTCCTCGCTAGAGGATTCCGCTGTGTGTTTTTTGCGTTTCTCTGTGCGTGTTGTGTGTGTGGGGTGTGTGTGGGGGGTGTGTGTGTGTGTCTGTCTGGGGTATATTGTCTGTCATTTGTTTGTTAATGAGTTTGTCGAGTTTTTGGTGTAATTTAGTGGTGTTTTCGTCCGAAAGTTTAATTGTTTTTTGCAAATTGACGATTTGCTGTCATGGTTAGTATTTGTTGGTATTGTCGGGTGTTTTGTTCTGTGAGTTCGTGTATTTGTTGTTTTAGTGTCTCGTTTTCTTGTTTTTTGTGATAGTAGCTGTTCGTATAAATCTGTCTTAGTGGTCATGTTTTTTTGGTGAAGCGTAGGCTCTTGAAGAGGGTCTTTCGCTGTCTGCATCGTCCATATGTTCTCCTCGTGTTCGGAGTCCGACATTTTGTGCGCGTGTGTGAGGGTGTATACGTGTTAGTCGTGTGGGGATGCCCCCTTACGGGGGCGTACGTGTCTTTTGGTGTAATTTGTCTGTCTGTTATAAAGAATGTATTCTAAAGTAACACAAATAACTGATAAATAAGTAAAAGTGGGACTTACCTGGGTATAACCCCGGCACAGGTACCTGTAACAAAGATGCCGACGGCCCCTCTGCTTAAGCGGGGGATTAGGTCGGTGGTTAAGAAGAAAGGGATTCTTTCCAGGCAGCCTTAATAAAGGCAGGTAGATTTTGCTCGTTGCAATCACTTCACCTCACAAACAAACACGTCTGCTCAGCTCGGCCGTTCGCTCGGAACCATAAATTACAGAGGAATCTGCCATATATTAAAATAAATATGTGTTTAGCGCCACCTGTGAGAAGTTCTCCAATTAAACTCCCCCTACACATAGGCGGAAATAATTATTTAATTTTATGTAAATTACCAAATCCAATAAGAAATTAGAACAACCTGAAAGACAAAAATAACATTTATTAAAACAAACATTATTCTTGTTTACAGGTAGTCCTAATTTTCTTGGATCATTCATTCATGTTAATAAAAGGAACAATTAAAATTTATAACTTCTTTATTGTTATTGTAAAAAGAAACAGTACAAACACACTATTATAAGTTGATATTCAGTACACTGTATTACAATTAACACATCTAAAATAGAGATAAAGGCACTTATGTAAACATATAAACTGTTACATATCGAGATTCCAAAAAGTACGCATCTAACAAGTAACCATATTTTATAGTATACATCTTAATTTCAAAGTGGCTCAAATATTTTCAAATTTGTCTGTCATTGTCGACTATTTTGATTTTGTTTACAAGTTCGCACATGTTGATATAGCTGCTTTATTAAGATTTTAAAGTGATCGTAAACATAAACGATAATATATATTATTAATATGTATTACTGTTAAGTAGTTATATCTTGTTACAAACAAACTTTCAAAACGAAACTTAAAGTAAACAAGAATAACATCTAATTTTATCACTGACCGATATAATGAATATATAATATTGTAGGTACTTTGGATACAACAATGACATTTAAATAAAGGGGACTTATTTATTTACATTTCTGGATGATGCCTCGTCTATTCACAGTCTAATTGTATCATTGTTGTCAGCTGTATAATTGTACTGGAAATGTACTTAATATTTTTATCGCAATTTTCATCACAATTGTGAAAATTATTATTATAGGATAGTATTATTAAGTTATGCATATTTGCATTTTATATGCATTGTTAAGTTATGTACGTATTAAACCATTTTTCACTTTTCATATTTGCCATGTTTGAAGACTTGGTAACTGCGCAATAATTTGTAGCGTGTTCCGCATTCGTTCTGCCGTGGTTGGCAGAATATGGCGTCTCTTATTAGAAAATAGTTGTGATTTTAATAAGTGAAACGTGATTAGTGTTTATATATGTATTTTGTATAAACTTTTAAGGTGTGAATATGGTTAGACAGTGCAGAATTTGTAAGAAATTGGGTTATAAACATCCACATCTATCCTTCCACAGGTAAGCGTTCTTGAAGATGACTTTGGAATGTATATGCAACTCTGGCCATTGTCGTGCTTGTAGGTAACTTTTATTTGAATAACGCTAAAATTTTGTAAAACTGACTTGGTATTTTTTTTAATTTTTGCTGATAGTAAGAAAACAATAATATGAATTATGTTTGGCCATTAAAATCAATAAATCTCCCGAATCAAAGGAAAATGCTGCACCACAAATAAGTTGCAGACATTATTTATATTTAATATATTTATAGGTATTTCAATGTTATCCCTTATACATTATAAGTTTTAATCATTCATCATTTTCAATTTCCTCTACGACAAAAACCTTTTCAAAAATATGTTTACAATTGCACGGCGAGCATAAAAACTGAATAAATACAACAGCAAAAATATGGTGGTGGGTTCACTTATACACAAAAATACCGACGATGCAATTAACTGAAAGTTGCATTCATTCAACCATATTGATGTTCTCCTTTGGGAATATATTTTTATGTCTCACTGAAAGTTTGCCTGAGTATTCTAAAAGTGAAATGTGAATGTTTTTAGGATGCTTGGGGATGGTGCAACAAGAAAGAAATGGTTACAGTTATTGGGATTCCAAGAATTTATAAAAATATTATATATATATTATAAAAATACTGAGTAGCTGTTGAAATATATTGACTTAGGACTATAAAATATTTTATTTTGACCCTTCCAAAACGTACGACATTGGAGATGTAATCGCGCGCATCAGTTGGATGAAAATAAAGCCCTCTGCTTTCCCCTTGCCAAGCTTCACCCAACATATGAGACAGACTGTGACATGCCTAGTCTCCTTTATTTAAATGTCCTTGGTATACAACAATTACATAAAAATAATAATATAACGCATACTTCCCATTATATTTGGGTTATAAATATTATAATACCTATATATCTGCATATATTACAATAAGATCTCACATCTCACATGCATGACAATTACATTATACTTATCTTACATGAACATACTATGTGTACCCGAATTTCAGATTGGTACATTTTTATTTACATATGGACAAATTTGACTTCATTACAACAAATCAACATACACTTATCTATTACAGGTGTTGTACATATCACTTTTTAACTAAATGAAGTACTATTACAATTTTAAATTGTTTACCGCCATTATTCCATGGCTAGAAATTGGCCTCAATGATTTGGGATCGAGGGGGATTATCCCTCTTTATCCTGCCTCATCTCGTGTAGGCCTGGACAGCCTTCGTAGNTTTTTTTATATATTAGTCTGTCTGGTATATTGTTTGTCGGGGGTCGCAATTTTAAAGAAATGTATTCAAAAATAATGCAAATAACTGATAAAGTAAAAACTTACCTGGGCATAACCCCGGCACAGATACCTGTAACAAAGATGCCAACGGCCTCTATGCTTAAGCCGGGGATTAGGTCGGTGGTTAAGAGGAAAGAAAGGGATTCTTTCCAGGTAGCCTTAATAAAGGCAGGTATAAACACGTCCGCTCAGTTCGACCGCTCGCACGAGAATAATAGACAATAGTGACTTGTTATGTGGCAGATGGCGTAGAGCCGGTTAGTTAGTGGACCAAAAAGTTAGAAGAAGAATACGATATCCCTAACGATATCTAACCTAAAATAATGTGCGTCATTGCGTCTCCAATTTTGCATCGTTAAAAGTATAGGTAACAGGTAACTATTGTTTAAAAATGCCAAAAGACCATAAAAGAATAAACGGTCCAGAAGAGACAGTGCCTTATAATCTCTTCGCTAAATTAAATATAAAGACGTTATCAAAACAATTTAAGGAAGCAGTAAATAATGGTAAAAGAATTGATTCCCGGACAACCGAAGAACATAGAAAAATTTGTAAGTGTGAAATAAAAGCTATCAGTATGTATATGTAATACATTTATTCACTTCCGTTCTTAGTTCTTAAAACTGGAATTGTGAGCCAAGCTAAAGGATCGGCGTACATAGAATTAGGTAAAACTGAGGTTATAGTATCAGTATTTGACCCTAGAGAAATCCCAAATCGGACAGATTATTGTTTAAATGGAGAAATATATTGTGATTTTAAGTTCGCCCCTTTTAGTTGTATAAAACGTAGACAACACCAACATGATGCAGAAGAGAAACACTATGGTGCCATTATGAAACAGGCTCTGGAGTCGACAGTTTGTCGACATGAATTTCCTAATTTTCAGGTAGACATTTATGCTCTAGTTCTACAAAATGATGGATCAGCTTTAAGTGCAGCTATAACAGCAGCAGGTGTTGCGCTAGCTCATGCTGGTGTGCCCATGTACGATTTGATCACATCCGTCACTCTGGGTGTTCAGAACGACATAATGTTATTGGATCCTAACTATACGGAACAGATGTTATGTGAAGTGCCAATCTCTTCAGATCAAGAAAAAAGTCATGGTATTATAGTAGTGTCAATGCTTCATACACATGAGCAGGTTTCACAATTTTTTCAGTCTGGTTGTATATCTATGAAGGATTTAAGTGCTGGCATAAGTGTTCTTGAAAAAGCCTGTCGAAGCATTGTCCCTCTTGTCCAAAAATGTCTAGCCAAACACGTTTTAAAAACATTAAAAGAAGACGCAGAAGATTAAAGTGAAGAGGAAAATATTTTATGGAAAGGTGTGAAACTAGTGCTTCAGCGTAAGGAGCGAACGTTTTGAAAAATTCATTTTTTTATATACAGACGTTTTGAAAATATACGTTATATTGAAAGAAAAAAAAATTTTTTGAAATACATATAATAAATAAAAAAGGAATGATGCATAATAAATAATCTATCCACTTATAACATTATCTGGTATTTTAAAGACTTTTTCACACGCGAAATAAGTAGCCTACCATCATAGCTAAGAGAAGCGAAAACCCATGGTTCAGCTGGAGACCACTCTGCACAATAAACACTATCCTCATGTTCGCACCACTGTAATGGTCCATCTGACAACCTTAAAACGATATTACTTTACAAGTGGTGAATTTACTAAAATATATTATTAAAGGGATGTATCGTAATTAGAAATTAATAAGTTCTTGAAATGTGGCTTACATTTGCTTGGTTTCTAGTCCATCAGTCTCGTCAGTAATGCAGGATTCACTGTTATTTTCAGAGCTTACGCTTGCGGCACTTGAAATTAACACTCTAGCATCAGAACTGGCAGTTAATAATAGCTGATCATGGAAATGGTTAAATCGAACACACCATACCCTAAATAAAAATTTAAAATTGTTAATATTGCATACTATAACTATTTAATACATTGGTTTTTAAAGTGTATAAAAACTTACCAGTGAGAATGATCGCTTCTTGAAAAAACTGGCTGATTGGTTTGTCTAAAATCCCATATTTTAACAAATCCGTCATCGCCACACGTACCAATGTGATATTGTTTATTCATATTGTAATCCACATCACGTAGTAACTGACTATGAACACCATCTATACCCCAAGCCAAGTCTCCGGACCTTATGTCGTACGTTTTTAGATGAGTTTCAGTAGCAGTTGTAAACTACAGTAAAGATAAAATGTTACGCTGCAATTAAAAAGTATTCAATATGGCTCATTAAGAACCAGGACAACTCTCTAAAATTCATCATTATACCTGTGATATTACAGGTCGCTCTCTGTCGGTATGGGGCATATGAAGCCATAGGCATTGAGTTGCAGTGACTATTGATAGATTTCTGTTATTTCTCATATATAATAGAAATGATGCATTGAAATATAATAAAATTTGAAATCAGTAATACATTTTTTGAGACAATTTTTTGAAAAATTAGCATTTTTTTGAAATTTAACATCACATTATTTTGTACACGTTTAATGCAGGTTCTGTCGGTTCAATAAAAACTATTTACACATCGTTTGTTTTTTCCTTAATGTTAATGATCTGTACACCTATATAAAAAATTTGTTTGAATTGTATAACACAATAGAATTTTAGAGGAGTGTCTTAGTATTTAATGAGCCAGAATAATATATTAAAGTACCTGATTGCAATTTTGATGAGGGTTCCATTTTCCAGTGGTAAATTTAGGATTATTCTTTCCCTCTAACTGAATATTTAATATATTTTTTCCTTCATCTCCTGAAATGTCCCACAGTATGACTTGATTTTCAGTTACCGAAATTGCTTTATTAGATTCGGTTGGGTGAAAATCTGTAGTTTTAACATCAGATCCAAAGAGAGATGTTTCTAGTTTAGTAGCTACTTCTAGGTCGTCGATGGTATTTGGATTTTCTGTTTCAGGTAGCTTCAAAATAGCGGTTTTCATAGTACAACTACTTTCATTAGTTACCGAGTTGTAACAGGTAGACAGTTTTGTAGAATCTATCGGGCTTGTAGTAATTTTCCATATTTCTCCTTCAGAATGGTGAAATACCTAGAAAAATATTAAATATCATTGCCTCTGATCGGCCTTTAAACATTTAAATGATGCTTAATTATTGTTACATGAACATACTGTGAAAAAATAGTACAATACTTACTGACGTCTTTATTGTTGATATTTCTTCATTAAATTCTACCAAATGAATTTGGTTATTTGCTTGTTTCAAAGACTGTGTTCCAATAATAAATTTAATCTTTTCAGTTTCTGCGAGCTGCGGGGCTAATGCCCTTGCCTATAAAAACTTTGATTCAAAATGATTCAGAATCATAATTATTTTATTCAAATACCTGAAATTCTAGTCCATAAATTACGGAGTTATCATCCATCTTATGTTTTGTTTTTAACATGACAAGCAAAAAGTTAGGTTAACAACTTAACCTTCTTCTGTCAAAACAAAGTACACAGTCAATCGCCGCAAGCTACAATCTACAAAGTCGTCGAACAAAACGTAAAGCATATTGTGTGGGACACGAAGTATACAAATACGAAAATAATTCCTCTTGAACTAATTTTAGGAGTATAAAGTGATTTAAAATTACATAAATATTCATACATTATGCAATTGCTTTATATTTTTTGTAAATTAAAAAAATATTGCTTGTCAATATATTTTGAGCGACTTAAAAAGAAATTACAATGAGATAATGGGAAGTAATAATAAGAACAAAAAATGTATTAAACAAGAAATATTTACATGAAATAATACATGTCGTATAAGAACAAATAAATTTATTACATTAAAACGCTATATTAGTCTAGAGCACAGAGCAATATTAAGTAAAGTTTATACGGGAGCTTTGTGAACAAGGTTGAACCAATGTCCACATTCGCATCTCTTAGGTTCTCCCTTATGTAGCCACATCCAGTTTATGCTAGTGGACTCTTCTTCACAAATACATCCTACGAGACGGGCATCAAAAGCTGAAGGAATTTCATTTGGTTGGACTTTTGTACCAGCACCTCGTTTAATAACTTTCAAGTCAAAAGGATTTTCGTTTCCGGCTACTTTGGCTAATAATTCACGTTTTTCAAGACCAGTGGCATGTTCTACTGGATCACCCATAGTGACTAAAAATAAAAAAGAGGTTAGGTGGCAGACATTTTAAAACATTAAATACTTTTATAAAAACTATTATATAACGTTATCTCCAAGATACTAAGACATCGATTATTGTTAGAAAAACAAAAATTGGTTGATAAATTTAAGAAAAATTGTATAATTACGTAATGAAGAAATGAAGGAAAACTAGGTAGGGCATGGAGATTTCCGCATCATACACAAAATTTCATTGATTACCTTTTGAGGCAAACCTGTAACTCGAACACAAGACATGTTTTCTTGCAGTAGATGCGGCAATTCTACCACACAAAGAAGCCATTTTGGTTTCGGAAATGTAAGGTTCGCAGATTTTTTAACAAATTCCGTCTCCGATAATCTGTCAACTACCCAACAACAAGAGGTCGTTTCGATCAAATCTTTAAAAATACACAATTTATGGACATTTTTCACATTGCTACTCGAATTGGTTACCTTCGAGAGGTTACTTCATATTACGTCATGAAATATTGCGTAAATTTAAATTTTGATGTATAACACTAAAAGTTAATTTTAGCATTTATTCATATAATATTTAATGTGTGTATATAAAATATCTAATTAAATCGATCGATCTCTATAATTTATTCTTTCTTTTTGACACATCATATTTACATATTTTATTTATAACTTTGTAAAATTAAAACGGAAATAAAGCAAGTGGCATCATATAATATTTTGGATACAGGCAATTTATAATTTCACTGGTGTCTCTGCAATATCTATACATGTATTTGCTCAATCCACCGATGATTTTCCTACAACCATTAACCAAATAAAGCTGAGAATCCACGAGAAATGAACTAAATTTGACATTAGAAACAAAACCTTTCAACTGTTATATTTTTATTTATAATGTTGTAGAATTGGTAAATAAAACATGTCGGAAAGTTGAAGCATGCGCATATAACTTTTCTTTTCCTTTCTGTTTAGCGTTCGACAAGGTACACGTTCTGTTTAAATTATTAGTGAATTGTTTTCATTTATTTTTTGAATTTTTACGAATACTATATTTAAAATAATGTGTGTAGTTATATTACCAAATATTATGATTTTGTTCAGTGTTGATTTTGGCCTTTGATGATTGGTTTTTCCTAAAGATATTTTGTGATTTGTATCCAATTGTAGGTTAAAATTGAAATATGAACTAAACCTATGGTTATATTTACTAAAAGTTTCTATAGCAAAAGCAGTAGTATTAAAGTGTGGTAGTTAAAATTCTTCTGTTCTTTATTTATAATATTGACTTACTTTTTTATTGATGAAACATTTTTTTTAGATGTCGTCCAAAATAATTAAGGCAGGTGGGGCGGAGCCCGATACGTTTGAAACTCAAGTTGCTCAGGCTTTACTTGAGTTAGAAATGAACTCTGACTTGAAGGCCCAACTTAGAGAACTACATATTACTAAAGCTAGAGAAATTGAATTAAACAATAAGAAGGTAAGTACTAACGAAACTTCTTGGTTATTACATACATATTAACACATGTAAGCTTTTAACCTAAATATTAATACATGTCATTATTTACAGTCGATCATAATCTATGTGCCCATGCCCAAACTAAAACAATTCCAAAAGGTACAGACTAGATTAGTACGTGAGCTGGAAAAGAAGTTCAGCGGAAAGCATGTGGTGTTTGTGGGCGAAAGGAAAATTCTTCCTAAGCCAACTCGTAAAACCCGTGCTGCAAATAAACAAAAACGTCCTCGGTCACGCACTTTGACTTCGGTGTATGACGCTATCCTGGAAGATCTTGTATACCCAGCTGAAATTGTGGGTAAAAGGATTCGTGTAAGATTAGATGGGTCACAGTTGATTAAAGTCCACCTTGACAAAAACCAGCAAACCACTATCGAACATAAGGTATGTTGTTCCTAATATATCTTGCCCACTTTTTTATTTTAGAATTACCAATTAGTTTAAATTAGTAAGGGATAAATTCAAAATTACAAGTTAGTAAAATCTACTACATTTTTTGAAATACTGGAATACTTAAAAATTGTTTTTGAACAGAAGTTACATTTATAATGATTTTTTACTCAATTCAGAAAAATATAAGCAAACTGTTGATTTTGGTGTCATACTTCATTTATAAACTATTTGTGTATTAAATATTAAATTAAGGATCAACTGATTACTATTTACTAATCGTTAACTTTGCGAAAAATAATAAAATATGGACATATAAAAGAGGTTATATTTTTAAAATGTCAGTTTTAGTTGAACAATTACCAACAAAATTACAAGAAAATGGCTAAATATCTTTAATTTTACATGTACCAATCCCAAAAATTTTTTTGAATAATTCCGCGCATACAACTTTTCAATCTTGAAAAGTGTCCTGAGGACATGTCCACTTTTCACGACATGTCCAGCTGACATGTCCGCGGCATACCTCTAATTTATTATTATTATAAGTAAATTTTTGATCAGTATCCTATATTAGGACGGTTTTAACCTAGATGGATGGTCATTAGTGTGTTTTTTTTCTGTGTACTTGTGTATTCTAGTAGCGACTGGGTTCACATGTACATGTACCGCAGCGAAAGGATTAATATTAAAAGACCCTTTCCTTTTAGTAGTAAAATATACTTTTGCGTGAATAAATCTGAATTAAAAGATTCTTTTCCATCTGTAAGCTGGGTTCAGATAGTATGGTTACTTGCCAAATACTTGTCAAACATAAACAAACCTCTTATTGTTTAGATGTTGTTTATTTGGAATATATCTTCACTTGCCAAATATTTGACGGCACCTGCTACAACAACCACATCAATCAAATTAATTTTGACATAGTGGATTAAGTAATTTCTCTACATTTATGTGTACAATGTGACTTGATTTTATAGATTTTAGCCAAATAATATGCAAGTACTTGTGTTTGACGAGTGACAGCACCATCTGGAACCGGTTTAATATTGTTTCAATTTTGTTTAAAACGATCTACTCTTTTGCAGGTGGACACTTTCGCTTCAGTCTATAAGAAATTGACAGGAAGGGAAGTTACGTTCGAATTTCCTGAACCTTATTTGTAAATTAACTTTACAGTTGTTTAATAAAAAAATAATTTAATAAAAGTGTTGTGTTGTGTTCATACACTTTTACATACGTATCGTTGCTGATAACGCAAAGTGGCAAAACCGCTTCTTGATGTATAAAACAGTGTCCCAAAAGTCAATGTTAAGCTGGCAAGAGGCAATAGGCTTTCCCTTAACTAGCCTGAGTAACTAAATTTAATTTTATTAAGTCTTTTTTATATTTTGGGACGTACACATTTTTTAAATTAATAAAAATCGTTAACCTGAGACGAATATTTCGGGTGCCAGGGCTATAAAATTAGATACTTTGTGATTATATTTTTAATATTTTAGCTAAATATTACAGAATTGCTATGAGAACCAATCAAAACAATTACTACTGTTGTGATTTTCTAACAAATTTTTCCCCAGTTTTAAGGATTCTTAAATGATCATCCTACTGTAATAGTGTTGTCAAAAAAAAAGTACTAGATTTGGCTAGCGTTTTGTCTTAAATAAAACACCTTTACTACAGATTGTATTTAATGCAATGGTGGCTGGTGAAAATTAAACTATTAAATTTGTAGTGACAATCAAATAAACAGTAGTAATCTATATTATGCTAGTAAGCGGCAATAAACGTAGCAGAAATGGGCTAATTTTTAAGAAATTTAAATTTTTTTTCTCTAAAGGAACGGGGCCCCACGAAAAATTGTCTTAAGGGGGTTCCCCGCCAAAAAACGTAGCACCATCAGATTCCACGTAAAACTCCTGTGTACTAAAGGACCCCGCACAAATCTTATGGAAATTGGGTCCCGGTCAAATTCGCTGAATTTTTGATATGTGATAGAGTTCATCATACTGGTCAATTGTCTCAATGGCCACAAAGCTCAAAAATGGATAGTTTGGCCGGTACAGAGCTTTAANGGAGGATATTCGGAGCTTTAAAGCTCTGTACCGGCCAAACTATCCATTTTTGAGCTTTGTGGCCATTGAGACAATTGACCAGTATGATGAACTCTATCACATATCAAAAATTCAGCGAATTTGACCGGGACCCAATTTCCATAAGATTTGTGCGGGGTCCTTTAGTGATTCTCGTACAACAGGGTTCTGAGATATAAAAAAAGATTATTCTTAGGGGCGGACTTCAAGGGGCTGTAACTCCGAAAGAGGGGGCCACTTGGCAAAAATAAAAAATACGGATCCCCTAAATTTATCTTAACCATCTGGGACCAAATTTTGTTGCATGAATTTCGGGACACCCTGTATACAAACCTGTATGTTCTATGCAAGGGTCAGCAAGTAATTTTAGGTGGGGTCCGAATACTTTGAAAATTTTTAACGAAGTCCACAAAAATAACATTCCTTACTAATTTTTATTTTAATTTGCACTCGCAAATTTAATCTGCCTACTAACCATTAAGAACTCAAATCAATGACGCAATTATAGTAGAAATGATAAGGGTGACACTCAAACGTATTATTATCAATAGAAAACAATTTTTTAAATTATTTAATTAAGCAATTTATACTTTAAAAAAATTTTTGGGATTTCATTATTTTACCTTCCGCGGTCCGTCAGTTGCCGACCCTTGTTCTATAGCAGGGGTCGGCAAGTAATTTTAGGTGGGGTCCGGATACTTTTGAAAATTTTTAACGAAGTCCACTAAAAAAACATTCCTTACTAATTTTTTATTTTAATTTGCACTCACAAATTTAATCTACCTACTAACCCTTAAGAATTCAAATCAATCACGCAATTGTAGTAGAAATGATAAGGGTGACACTCAAACGTATTATTATATTATCAATAGAAAAGTATTTAAATAATTTAATTAAGTAATTCATACTTTCAAAAAATTTTTGGGAGTCCATTATTTTACCTTCCGCGGTCCGGATTTGGACCGCGGTCCGCCAGTTGCCGACCCTTGTTCTATATCTATAGCATAATAAATTATTATTATTATTATATATCAGAGGCAAAGATGTATTGAACAATGAAGTGGGTAGCGGGATTACTAATGTATGATGTAGTTGATGCTTCACCACCACTAGTAAAAATGCATCTATTAAAAACTTCAACTGTTTTAGATATACTCCTGTGACCTCGGTAAATCTTGAACTATCATTTTCGTTTTTGAAATAACAATCGCTTTCCTTATATAGTTATTTTGTTAACTTTTGCTGGTACTTATTATTATGTAATATATTTATATATTTTATGGTAAGTTCCATGTAAAGCGTTTAGTGTAGAAAAATATACACTGCCCCTTTTTGGTTCATATTATTATGTACATAAATACTTACATATACAGGCTGTCTACTATAAGAGGGCCACTCCTAGTATCTCGCTTTATACACGATGCACGTCAAAAATCTTCATAAGTTTTTGAAACAAAAACAAATTTGAAATCCATGGCCAACATTATGAGTAATTATAAAAAAAACGGGAAAGTACTGAAAGTTTAGGGTCGAATAATTTTTTTATTTTAAGAGATAGAGAAAACTTATTTTAATAAAATTTCATGTCAAAATTGATATCTTTCACCTGGTGCAAACCAATATTTAAATTATCGTATGTAATTTACTGCGCCCTCTACGTGGGCAAAAAAAAAAATTGTCATCGAAGCGGGCTATGGCTACAAAAAATTGCTTGTTTTTTCCTCTTTCATGCAATATACTACATGTTGCCTTTATCTTTTATATTTATTACATTTTTTATAATTTTGGTATCAAAAATGTAGGTTAATGTTGAAATTGTTTTAAACACGCCAACTACAAATTTAATGAATATGATATACTTCTTTTAAGCAAAGAATCGGCAATATATGGCACCCATCAGTTTACCATCATAGAAGTAAGGCCCTATGATGTCGGTATCAAGAATTCTAACCCAAACATTTACTGAACCAATTACTACCAATTACTATTGGTCGATTTGAAGTGAATGTTTCTATTAAAAAATCCATTATTATAAAAATTAGACACATCTGAGCAGAGAATTCTTCTGCATATAAAAGAATCTTCCTTCTTTCTTTCTTGTCACCACCTACCATGAAAAATTCTCTTAAGGGGGTTCCCCGCCAAAAAACGTAACACCATCAAATTCCACATGTCAAAACCTCTGTGTACCAAATTTAGTGATTCTCGTACAACAGGGTTCAGAGATATAAAAAAAAGATTATTCTTAGGGGCACATTTCAGGGAGCTGTAACTCTGAAAGAGGGGGCCACTTGGCAAAAATAAAAAATACGGTTCCCCTAAATTTGTCTTAAGAATCTGTGACCAAATTTTGTTGCATTAATTTTGGGACACCCTATATTATTACACTTCTCAATATGTGAAAATATCATTATCATTATTATTCAAAATTATACTTTTCAAATTACAGTGAATTGTAACAATTTCCAAACCAACAGTTAGTTAGTATAAACTATAACAATAAACTAATTCCTTAAATGATGTCATTATTAGGGTAACACATTTGATTTCATAGCATGCTACATTTAACGTAAGCGAAGTTTGTTGTGGAAGAACAATGTTGAAGGCTCAAGTTTTCTCTAAAGTAAAAACCAATATTATAATAATGTGAAAAGAAAATCTGTATTTTGTTTAAAAGAAGTATATTATACTTATTAAATTTGTTGTTGACGTGTCTATAACAATTTCTACATTAACACGAAAATGTATAAATTTTTATGCCAAAATTGTAAAAATGTAATAAATATAAAAGATTAAGGCAACATGTAGTAAACTGCATGAAAGAGGAAAAACAAGCAATTTTTTATAGCCACAGCCCGCTTTGATAACAATATTTTGTTGGCCCGCTTAGAGGGCGCAGCAAACTACATACGATACTTCAAAAAATCTGTTTACACCAGGTGAAAGGTATCAATTTTGCCATGAAATTTTATTAAAATAAGTTTTCTCTCTCTTCTAAACTTTCGGTACTTTCCCGGTTTTCTTAAGATTACTCATAAAGTTGGACATGGATCTCAATTTGTTTTTACGAGCATCAAGGCTTCAGAAAATTCAACAAAAAAACATATAAAGATTTTTGAAGTGCATCGTGTATTAAGCGAGATATATAGGAGTGGCCCTCTTATAGTAGACAGCCTGTATATTGTAAAGAGTACATTTATAAGAAGGCAACGGTTGCGTTACTTTTCGTTTGAATAAAATTACATAAAAGAGAACCTGGCCTGTAGCCAACCCAGTACCACATTATAGCCTCCCTAACATTTCTGGTCTCTAGTGATCACACATTGATAATAAAGCATGGGACCCATACCATTTTTTGTAGGCGCACAAAGAAAACTCGTGAAGCTTTTTCTTAGAAAATCCTAATCGAATTTTTTTTATTAGTTTTCATATTAAGATTCCTCTGCAATATTTCCTTAACAAAAAAACAATACCTAATTTTGTCTAGGAATCCAAAACATTCGCTTAGCTAGAGATTTTTGTGAATTTAAAAATTGCCAATATTCCAAAAACTAAGGGACTTTTGCTAAGATTGAATATAATTATTCTGGCTAGTCATGGATCGGTCTGCCACCCTTTGTTGACATTTTACATTTGGACACCCTGTATAACAAAACCTTGTATTTTCCTTATTATTTCGACAGTGTAATAAAACCATCATCGATGTAACAAGATTTAATAAAACAGTTCCCTTATAAAAGAAAATATAAAAAAATCACAAAGCCTTAAAGTAAAAATACACAAGTACTTTATAAAATGCACTAAATTGTAATGAGTCAGTTCTGTCACCATAACATTACACCTATAAATGTAGCAAAATGAATGCACTTTGCTTAAACTCTTTACTTTGTTTTGCTTAAACTCTACTTTGTTTAATAACATACATATTGAGGTACAATTAAAGGGGTTGGGTATAACACTTATTATAATGGAGCTTCAAGAGGCAAAAATAAAAACACTGAATAAAAATCCAGGAAATCTTGTGAATGCTAACATAAAACTGCGTATTTAGACCAGGCGGGATCTGTTTTATATAGTACCACACATTTTTGCTTTAATGGTTCCAAAATGATATAACAAAACATAAATTCACTATGCGCGCGCTTCAATACGTGTGCTAAACTTATTATTAAACAAATAGTGAAAAAATTCCAATTTTTTTCTCTTTTCTTCAACACAGTTCAAAAACTATTCATTTTAAAGAAAAATTGAAGAGGAAGAAAAGATTCGTAATTAAATTTTACACATGATATATCTATTTTCAAATAAAAAAATACAACATAATGCAAATATAGCAAAAACAACAAAAAAAGTGAAAAAAATTACAATATTTTTGCGATTTTTTTAAACGTACCTATATCCTCATACTTCGCCAAATAAATCTTTTTGATATAATAAAACATCACACCAATTTTCGTTAAAATCGGTACAATAGTTTTCGAGTAATAATTTTGCAATCCACATTTAAAAAAAAAAATTGAAATTTTTGCAAATTTAACTGAGCCTAAATTAAGACTTCTAGATACTTGAAAATTTTATCACATAAAAAAGGCCACTCAAACTTTAAAATGCATCCAGAAATATTGAAATCCGTTAATTAGGAGAGCCGTAGTCATTGTTTAAAGATATGAATAATTTTTATGCTTATAAACAAATATAATAACTTTATAAATTCATTATAATTATTATTATTTTTTTTAATTATACTTTTAGAGTACTCGGAAAGACGCTTCTTTTAAAAAAAAAACGTAGTGATTCGTTAATTTGTTCCAGAGTTATAGTCGATCAAAGTTGACCGGCATTTGTGGCGTAACTAACTACGAGGTCTGGAGGGTTGATTTTTAAACAAATACCTTTGTCATTCCGAGTACTTTCCGGGAGTGAATTTACAAAACTTGCACCCTTGTGCAGCCCATATAAAATGTTGATTAAATCTTTGGATTCACAAAAAATGTATGGGAGGTAGTGGTAGGGGGTCAAGAGCTCGGCTACTGCAGCCGACTTGAAATTGAAATCGCGCGTTCAAAATAGCGGGGCGCTTAAAAATTTAGATTATCTCGGCTTCTAGTGGTCCGAGTTTGATGATTTTCTTTATATCGATGTCTCGCGAGCTGAAAAGTCCAAATATCGCATTTTCAAATGCGAATTATTGTTAATTATCGACCAATTAACATATTGATAATTAGGTACTACTTTTTAATTTGCTTCACATTTCTCGTATTTTTTTTTATTCTATTAATGAATATTACTCAAATTTATATAGTTTTTATCCGTACATTGTATTCAATTTGTTTAAATATTCAAAATTTGTTCAAACAATAATTATGTAAATAAATTTTGAAAATCAAATTATCTTAGAAAAAAAAGCATTATACTACATTTTTCCTGAATTTCATGCTCGGTCCAATAGTTTTAATCGACATTTTATATGGGCGCAAGTTTTACAAATTCATTCCCGGAAAGTACTTGGAATGACAAAGGCATTTGTTTAAAAAACAGCACTCCAGATCTCGTAATTACGCCACAAATGTCGGTCAGCTTTGATCGACTGTAACTCTGGAACTAATTAAGGAATCACCACTTTTTTTTTTAAAAAGAAGTGTTTTTCCGAGTACTTTAAAAGCATAATTTAAAAAAAAAATTATTCTATTTGTTTATAAGCGTAAAAATTATTCATATCTTTAAACAATTACCACGGCTCTCCTAATTAAAGGATTTCAACTTTTCTGAACGCATTTTAAAGTTTGAGTGGCCTTTTTTATGTGATAAAATTTTCAAGTATCTTATTCAAGTCTTAATTTAGACTCGGTTAAATTTGCAAAAATTTTAATTCTTTTTCAAAAATCTGGACCGCAAAATTATTACTCGAAAACTATTGCACCGATTTTAACCAAAATTGGTGTAATGTTTTACTATATCAAAAAGATTTTTTTTGCCGAGTATGAAGATCCTACCTATAATATAAGTACTTTTATTAAAAAAATCGCAAAAATATTGTAATTTTTTTCACTTTTTTCTGTTGTTTTTGCTAAATTTGCAATAATTATGTTGTATTTTTTTATTTGAAAATAGGTGTATCGTGTAAAATTTAATTACGAATCTTTCTTTCGTCTTCAATTTTTTTCTAAAATGAATAGTTTTTGAACTGTGTTGAAAAAGAGAAAAAAAATGAAATTTTTTCCAATTTTTTCACTATTTGTTTAATAATAAGTTTAGCACACATTTTGAAGCGCGCACATAGTGAAATTATGTTTTGTTATGTCATTTTAAAGCCATTAAAGCAAAAATTAGCGATACTATATAAAACATCCATAGATGGGTGTTTTGAAACAGATCCCGCCTGGTTTAATTATCTAAAATAGAAAATAAATTTTTATTTGTATTTATTTCTGCTAAAAACAAATAAACCAAGATAACAAATTTTGAATAAAAAACATTTTCATATTATTTAAAATAAATACACTTGCTCCATTTGCACGTTTAACACTTAATTATTTAACATTTTCATTTTCCTTTTTCTCAACACTTTTTGACACATCAATATCATGAGTCCCTGATTTTTCTTTAGTTGTTTGCGACTCCAGATTTTCATCCTTTTTCGTCTGACTAGATACACTGGGTTCTTTTCTTAAAACGTAATCATCTATATCTACATTTTCGAAAATTTGATTTTCTCCGAAGCTCACACGTTTTGTGTGTGTTTTCATACTCGATGGTCTTGGCACGGGTAATGTTACTTCTGGATTACTAGTTATCGGTTTGTTTTTGTTTATTACCAGGTAGTTGAGCGGCACCACACCTGATTTACCTTTATGAACAGCAAACGCCCATCCGGTGTTCTTCAGGCTCATTTCTTCTTGGATGTAAGTCGGTGCTAAAAGGATAACGTCGTTGGTTTGAATGGTAAGTTCGTTAGGTGCTGTGGCTATGAAGTCGAACACAGCTTTGGCCCGAATGCCTGGGGATTTCCAATTAGAAGGATCACCTTTATCTGCAAAAAGAAAGCATAGAAAATATTAAAATTAAACAAATGCAAAATGTAACAGTAAGGCAATACAGCTGAATTGAAATAGTTGCTTGAAATAGTAGTGTCAGAATTGTACATTGTAATTCATATTCTAAGTGTTTAATTCAAAATGAGCATGGAAAATGAAGACGAGGAAGTATTGGAAGCGCCACAAAGTGTTGATCACAATAATTAGTCCCCAAAAAATGGACGAGATTGCCTACAACGAATTCAACGGGTGGTGTAGTTTGAAGAAAATTAAAAAAATGTATGAAGCGGTATTACTGGCATATTTCCAACATAAAATTAATAAAATTAAACCTTCGACGTTATGGTTAGTATAATCAATGTTAAAAAGTATACTGAATGCCAAAAAAAATGTAAATACCAGAAAATTTCCAAAACTAATACCATATTTGAAAAGCAAATCAGTTGGATACCGTCCAAAAAAGTTCAAATTCTAATGAGAGGAGATTGAGAGATTTTCACAAGCACCTGATAATAGATTTCTGCTAGATAATTTTCATGTTGTAACTGTTGGATCAAACAAACGGATGTATTCCCACTTAGAAGGTAGTACGATATTACACACTTTCACAGACTCTTGATTTATATTAGAAACCAGGTTTTATTATGTTTGTACTAATTTCGTTAGTAAATATATTTTTTTTTAATTATAATAGTTGTTAATAGTAAATATATTTCTTAGTAAATAAGTTTGGAAGTGGAAGAATTTTTTAAAATAAAAGAAATCAAGTAAAAAGAAAATTAAAAGATTAGCTTATTTTTCATGTAAATGTTAATAATAATAATAATAAATTTTTTATGAAAATTATTTATTAATGAAAGTGCTAAAAACCTATTCTTATAATAAGGAAAAACAATTGTAAAAAAATATAGATTTTTGGAATTTTTTTTTATTTGTTTAAACAAATTAGACCGTTCATTTATTAATAAAATTATAAACAAATTGTATATTTGTAATGTATGCGGAGTACATACAAATTAAAAAAAGAAACATTGAAATCCATCCAATTTTTAGGTTCCCCCACCACACCCTCCGACTAGTTTTCATTTTCGCATCATTTTGAAGCTTCACCAAAGTTCTCGTTATGGAGCAATCATTTTAAAAATTCTTGTAATTAAACTTTGAACCTTTAACTTCAAAATGGCGCTAATTAGGTTTCTTAATTGTTATAAACAAATTAGCTATGAATTTGTTTTAAATAAAAGCTAACTTTGACCCAAATTTGCCTAGGATAATTCTTTTTTAAATCCGTCTAAAAATGCCAGCTTTCCGAATATGAAAAAATATTTTATCTCCGAGCAATAGGGAAAAAGTTATTCAATTTATTTATAAATCAAAAATGTTTATTTTTGAAACATAAATTTTCAATTAGAAAAAAAACGATTTTTTTCACTTTTTTTAATCATAATGATAGTTTAGTTCCTCTTCTTTCGTATGGTACCCGCTTATTGCTGTATCTTCATTATTTTCTGACTAATGTTATTGCAAAATAATGGTCTCTGGGATAAACAATTTGAATAAAATTTAAACTATTTGATGGATCGATCTGAAATTTGGAGGGTTTATAAAGTATCACAAGACCCAACTTTTCATGCATATAACATAGTTATAGGTGGATATTTACAAGACTTATTGTCAATTTTTATTTTTCCCTTATTTTGCAAATTTCTAAGCAACAAATTAATTTATCAACTTTTATAAAACACCATTTTAAAGCTTGATTTATGTTTCAAGTAATGACTACTTTATATTTTCAATTGGATATAAACTTTTGCAATGGTAGGCAAAAATAGAGCAAAAATTTACATTTTTTGCACTTAATTGTTAATAAATAAAAAAACTCATGCAGGAAAGTGGTAGGATTTCTTCCTATAGGTCAATATTACCTAGAACACTTGTTAGATACCTGGATAATTTTTTGTCCCGAACAAGGATTTTTTTGCCTTATTTCCCTGGTCTATAAGGTATATTAATTGAATTAATTATTTAATCCTGTATCAAGATTTTTGATAACATTGTTTTCATTATGAAAACAATAATGTTCATAGGTCAAAGTAATAGAATGATATCAACACTTGATTTATTATCTTAGTAAACAACTTTAATACCAACCAGATTAAATTAATGGAAAACAAGCAGCATCAAATTCTCCAAAACTGAAGTCAGACCCTTAAAATTAAAAAAATGTATGTATTGAAAAGCTTCATGAATACATCATCAGATATTTCGGTTTTTTATTTCAGTATTAGTTTACAGAATAAGTTATTAATTGGGATCATTGAGGATTCAATTTTATGGTTTACCAAGTTTCACATGATAAAAAATGTTTATAAATTGTTATTTAATATTTGCATAATATTCCATTTAAAGATCAAGGTCATCTATTTTTGCTTTTTAAATTTAAATATGCAAGCTCCTAACACAGCAAAATAAATATAATTAAATAAGAGTAAAAAAACTGACCCGTAACATCACTGTTGTTTACAACATAATTTAAGTAATGTTTTCAAAGCTACTTTCCTAAAAAAATGTCCACCATTAAATTAGTTATTAATTGTTGTTAATTTTCAAAATTACCATGTGCGTCAACTTAAAATATTATTTAAAAATATCACCGATAAAAAGGTTAAATACATATATTCAATTAATTAAAAATATTTTTTTAAATTTACTGTTGGAAAAAAGTATTTCTTATATAAAATTGCAGTCATATTTAACATTTTGTTTGTCAACGTTTGTGTAAGCCTGTTTTAATAAATGTAAAACTGTAATTGGGAACAAAGTGCTCTAAATTACCACACTTACCTTCATATTTAGGCAAGAATCTGCTAATAATATAAGGAGCGGAAACGAGCACGCCCAAAAAAGCAATGGTAGGCCAACTGGAACCGGATGGGGCCCCAGCAGAAGGAGGTGAAACTCCATGTGCTGCTTCTTTCCAAGCCATCGAAGCTGTACTAGATGCGACTTTAAAGCCCATCATTCTCAACATTCTCCTGTACAACCAATTTAGGAATCTGAATATATTGATAGAGTACCATATGTGTCCAAACATCGTCCTTAACCTGCCAAAATTCTCAGCTACACTGAGAACAGCTCGAAATGAGCTAGTCATTGCAAAAAACGTGTTATCTAACATCATGGCTATGCTGTTAAAAGCTCTAACAATGCTCTCTACACTAGCGAATGTGTTTCTAGAGCTTTCTTCAGCGTACTGTATAAACCGCCTCTCGTGGTCATCACCTGAGACGCTTGGGTAAACATTTCCAAACATGCCCAAATTGTTATAACCACCATAAGATGATCCATAAGAGTTGTACAAAGAGCTACGGTATGGCATTCCATAAGATCCATACGAACTTCCATATGAATTGTAACCCCCATATCCCATTCCTATAAATATTAAATAAGTGTTGAATTTTTCCAATAAAAGTTCTGAGATATATTTATATAATTATAAAATTGTTTAATTCAGTACAATGCTTTTAAAAGTAATAAATTATATAAAAGTCACTAGGTTTCTAATTTTCAAGGTTGTAGTTATAAGCCTAATAAAAATAATTAATGGCATGGCATTTAATAATGACCAAGATACTTGCAATACTTATATTTCCTAATACATTCAAGGAAATATTTCATATTTTAAGTGACGTCAGTGATTTTGTTTTAAATGATTAACCTTTAACCAGAGCTTCTTACCTGAATATGGCATGTACGAATTGTAAGAAGTATTTCCAATCAATGGAGAATTCGATGGTCTGGGTGGTAAAACGGGAGCACTTCTAAGTCCAATATTAGGCACATTTGGCCCGACATTTGCATTTCTTATTAATTGGGAGGAATTTTGCAAATTTCCTTCCCAGGTTTGCAAAGGAGATGCCATGGCTTGATCAATTTTAATTAATAAACTGCCTACATTTCACAATTTCAAAATACACAAAGATGCATTACACAGGAAGTATGTCCTCATTTTATTCGCTTAAAAAACTCATTTATGTACGTACGTTATTGATATTTTCAACTTTACACTTTACAGATTTTATACTAGTCCGCTAACTCCGTGCTCACCACACCACACAACACATCAACACAATAATAAATGCAATTTTTTCCATTGAATTGTCAGTTCGTCAGTGGTCAATTGATAAGTCGGTATGTCAAAAGTCAAATTACCCCACTACTTTTCACAATTCGCAGTAGATCAAAATTTACTTTATCGTTTGCGTTAAAATAAGTTAAGGCGGGAAAAACAGTGTTTGATTGTAAAATTACCTTACATTAGAATTTATTAAATGGAGAAACATAAAGAGTAAGTACATTTCGCTGCACATTAAATTTAAAATCTAGTACCTAAGCATTCAGCTGTATTTAAAATTATTCAAGAATATTGAGGTTAAATCTGAAGGCTGGTTCACAACATTTATGCTTCACTTCATATTTTAGGCGCACTCTAGAGGAAATAAATGAGGTACTAAGTTTAGCTAAACTAAATGAGAATGATGTAAAACCCATTTTGCAAACGCTTTATTTTACTGAAGAAAATCTATATGACAATAATTACAGATTGTTGCAACTAGACTCAAATTTATTGAAAGAAGTTAGTGCTGGAAGCACACTCTATGTAAAAGGCAACGACAACGATGAAGTAGTTATATGTTCGGATACTAAAACTTTTCACGTTGTAGCTGCAGAAACATCAAATAGTTTACTATTAGCAAGTAATTTGACTTTTAGTAATGATATTAAAGATACGGATGAACGTAAAATCAGTAAAGTTAAAATTTGCGGGATATTTTACGATTATCTAGAGGCTGTCGTTGGAAAGCCACATTTAAAAAGATTAACACAACTCTTGCAGAAGACCATTTATAAAGGACCAGAGTTTGAATTTGAAATTAATAAAGATGATTTGCTTACATTTGAAGACCTAAATAATATCGTTCAGGCATCTTCATCTGAATTAAAAGAGGCCCTTGAATCACTGAATGTGGTGTATATAAATGAGAAAGTTCGGTTATTAGATTTCGAGTATCATTTTAGAGTATTGTCTTACATGCTTAAATTAATAGATGAGAATTCTTGGGAATTAGATGAAATAGACTATGAAGAAACTATAGGGGCTTTAAAAGATTTAGTTCCAAAGGAAATTGTTTCCAATTTACTCGACAAATATGTTGAAGAATCTAAAATAATTGATGGAGTTCAGTTGTATAAATATAAGGAACTGGATATATGTAAATTTTTCGCTCAGGTTTTGCTACATGGAACTGGAAAATTTAATTTAGATGAGTTTCTGCAAGCGTGGAAAGAGTCTGTTCCTGAAGGCATGGTTCCTGATGAAGAAATGCTTTATGGTATAGCTATAATTGATCGAAAAGCAATACCAAATGTCATCTGGGCTTTTGAAGAAAGTAATTTACCAGAAAATATTAATGAGCGGTTTAAAACACTCTTCGAAATGAAGGAAAAATGGACTGTAGCCGAAATTTCCCCGTATATCCAGTACGTGATTCAGGTAATTATTTTTTAAGTTATAGTTAAAAGTTATTTGTTCTAGGAGTTTAGCAACTGAGAAGATCGATGTTAATGCTATATTGGCGAAATATGCACGGGCGTCAAAAGTGAATGGTGTAAAATACTATTCTACAAAACATGGAAAATGATACAGTTTCACTATTTACTTTGCTATTACGTATGTAATTTTAACTGATTAAAATTAATTAAGCACTATGTATTATCCAAATTTACTAAACCCTTTTTCTGGAATCAGAAAATTTGTGCTCCAGCATTTGTGAACAACCCATACAGTTATTATCCTCTACATTACGTTACGATTTTTGGTACGGTCACAGAAGTAAATTTGTTTTATCTTCTGTGGTACGGTTATGTTTTGGTTCGCGAATTACTCAAAACACAGAGGCCGTGGCGATAGCGGTGAGATCGCTACGGCATGGAGACGTTGCGGTGGTGTCCTGTTACCACCCACCCAGACTACCA